GGCGGAGTTGACTGCGCAATTTCAACATAGACTCCGATGGGAAGGGTTGTTTGGTCTGGCTGGCATAATGAACCATCATGAGACCGGGCTTTGGTTAGATCAACTCGTACAAAATATGCAGCTCATTCACTACTCCCTTTGCTGCTCGTTCTTCAGCGAAGGGAGCAGTTGATATAGAAAATGCCGCCTGTGCAACCCTTAAAGGCAAGTCCCGGGATAAAACTGGTGATAAGAGCGCTTCGTAGTGATGACTGAGCTGCGGAACGGCCTGAAAGTGGAAAGGAAAGCAAGAGAAATCTTTGGGATCGCTGAAATTAAGGCCTTAACCTTCAAAAAGGTCGGATGTGGAACGATGGCGAGGCAGGGCGGTCAAAGAAGACAAAACACGCGAGAGATCACGCCGTTCGAGAGAGCACGCCGATAGGTGGGTGGGAAGCGTTGCAACGGGGGTCGATGGTTGCAGGCCCGTAAGGATTAGCGCCCTAACCGCGCAATTTTGCGACGAAGCTGGAGTGATCTAGGTAGGTAGGGACCTTACAATTTCCCTCGCGGTATCCTTCCCACAAGTCGGGCTAATCCCGGGGTTTGCCTTTAAGAATGAGACAACGATGGCAAAAGTTGCTCAAGAAGCGTCAGACGGGGAAAGGCTTAGAATATACCAGCATTTTTGAGTCAGTGCTGCACCACGAATGATATGCATAATGCGCTTACCACCAAGGTCTTTCAGGGGGTGCCAAGCTTTTTCAAAACGGTCTTTTGCATGATATAGGGGACCACAGAACCATGGTTAATTTTTCCTGAACGGCCCTCTGAATACCAGAAAAGGGGGTCCCTAGTTCGATTCCTCGTGTTGAAAAGAACCACTCTGTAGACTCCTTTGTAAGGGTTACTGACGGTCCTAATCATGAATATGGTACTAATTATTCATGCTAACTCCATTTTGCGCGAATTTTGAAACGTCAACTCGAAATGCAAAAATTTGTCACCACGAGGAATCGAACTAGGGACCCCTTTTCTGGTATTCAGAGGGCCGTTCAGGAAAAATTAACCATGGTTCTGTGGTTCCCGCATGTGCCCCTATATCGTGCATATAAGCAAAAGACCGTTTTCAAAAAGCTTGTCCACCTCCTTAAGGGTCTTCCTGGTTTAGTAGCTGCGTGTAGGTAAGGTGACGTGAAGTAGAGTGGATTATAAAATCCCTGAAAAATATAAGATTAAATATAAAATCTATCACAAGAAGAAAAAAGGGTCAACCAAAAAGCCCGACGTAGAGCAGAAGCGTCGTACTAAAGTCGGGTTCTCGCTAAGAACGCGACACTTTGCAGCCAAATTCTCAATATCATTTGATATATTTAGCCAAAACCCTGACACACGCTCGAAGGCCTTGCTGACGCAAAAATCAGCTCTGCCCATCCCAAAAATATTGTTAAGTTTTAAGTAATATAATATGTTTGTCTTCGTTCGCGAAGTATCGCATATAATCTTAATTAAGTATTGAATTAATAAATTATATATAAATTAGTCAGTGAGTTTTGATACCTATTTATCTCAGAGATACTTCAAAAACGAACCAGTGGGCCAAACCAGGTGGCCCAATATTTCTGAAGATCGGTGGCGAGTCGCCGGCACGCCCTTCGTGGGTTCTCAACGAAAACCTGACCTACTTGACGTGGGCGAAAAAGTTCGGAGCAACAGTGTATCTTCTAGAACACAGATATTATGGCGAGAGCGTTCTGTTCGAGTACGAATCTTTCTTATTTACCTACAATTTGTTACAATTTTGAATGCCAGTATAATACCAATTGTAGAGCGGCTAGTGCGCTCGACATTGAGACGTACACTACCTACCTATCGTCTCTTCAAATGCTTTATGATATAGCCCACTTTATACAAGCCATCAACGCCGAAATGGGATCAGATGAGCCTGCCAAATGGATAATCTTCGGTGGATCGTATTCTGGTGAGTTATTTTTCCTAACCGCTTTCAAATCTGAGCTCACCCTTATGAAGTAAACTTGAAAGGTGAGCAGGCGCGAGAGATTCAATAGAAGAGCTAGGGAGCGTGAAAGGTGTGTTGTTAAGATCAACTGAACCATTATCCGCGTTCACCCCGTCAACTTATGAAACACGTAAGTGGCGAAGGTGATGAATTAGGCGAAGACCGTCTCAGCATCGAGCCGGGTTTCAAAGGCTTTCTTTGTGAGGGGCTATCCGGACCCTAGAAAAAGTAACATCAAGAGGGAACGGGGTCCACTGAGTTGCACATCAGTAGAAAAGCGGTCAGAAAAAACAAGTCTAAGCTTCGAAATAGTGACGTGTCGCGCACCTCATTATCGAGTTTTTTAGACATTGCAGCTTCTCCCTACGTGAGACCACAAAACAGTCACGTACAGTTTAGGTGGAAACACCTCAACAATTCTATGCTTACGCTTCAATCAAAACCCTTGGCTTACGGCAAGTCTAATACACAACCAACAGCCTAATCTTCGTCAACGCCCTAGCTACCGTTACTTATAACGTTTGGAATAAGTGCTGTCAAGCATATTTATTACAAATCCGAGCCAAATGAATGTTGAATCTTTGATAGCAAACGTGACCCAACTATTAGACGAAGCAAGAAGCATTCCGAATAACACATAGAACAGTGGTAGTTTGCTTGAAAATACGATAAGAGGAAGCATTCAATTGTAGCGTCGAGAATAATCAATTTTTGAAAGATCTAATATTAATGTTAGCATAAGTCGTAAGCGGCTGACGAGCGACAAAGGTCCGTTTGGGAGCAAAGAAGCAAACCATAGTATATCCCAAGATGCTACCAAACGGTTTGGCAGGGTTAAATCCCGAATGCATTTTATTCTGAGACAACACAAAACATGAGAAACTGCATGACATGAGGCATGTTTGAGTTTAGCTACTGAATGAGCTGGGACTGAAACAGAATGTTAGTGACACCCCCTCCCTGAACATATTTGAATAATAAGCAGAAAACTAGTGATCAACGCATCCCTACACATCTCTTACACATTTAGGGCAAATAGGCGTACCGATGATGAGTTGCCAGGATATGACCCTATGAAGAATCGCTGGCTCTGATAGCATGTAATCAAAGACGAAAATCTTTCAGGATCACTAGCGCTGTGGATGCGCCAACTCTTCCCCGACTTAGTTCATGGAGCCGTCGGTTCCTCAGCACCTCTCGAGGCGAAAGCTGGACTTTTACGGTAGGACACGGTTAAATTTGTAGCACTGGGTCAGCCTGTGGTTTTTGACCATAGAGCACTTCTTGCGTGAATTTTTTGAGAAGCCACAAATTTTCATAAAAAATCTTGCGACGCAGCGTCCACGCCTGCAAAGCTAGAAGCTACGAAGCTGTACGTTATTGCGTGCCACGACGACTCAATCAATTTTAAGAGGACTGTTCAGATTTTTTCCTTTAATATGAGCTTGACAATAGATCTATCGATCATTTGTAAGAGCCGAAATGTAAGCGGGCAGAAGCAAATTTAAGTAAAGTGTACGAGGGTCACCGTCCCTTGGACAAAGTCGAGCGAGGAGGGTCGTATGTTTTAGAAAGGAGGGGCAGCGGTCAATCTACACCAGACGGAGCAGTCGGAATGTGACTCTTTTAAGCTTTGTGAGGCTCTGAAAAATAAATTGCCGTTCCGCTGTGATATAGTATATCCCCGCCGACTGCTACTTTGGAGAATGTGGGTGAGTTGGCGCGGTGGGCGCTCCGGCATGGTCAATGCGTTCTGAATCAAATGATTATGGAAGAGCTGGGGGGGGTTCGTATGAGATTTGAAATTTGACAGCGTTCCGGTTTGACCCTGCTCTAAAAGACACAGCCGTAGCCACGTCGGTTCTCAGCGGAAGCCAAATGCGTGGCGTGAACATGAAAAGGTCAATCGCAGCAGAGCGATCCATTAATATAATGGATATCAAGCTCAGAAGCATCAACCATACAGTTTTCAGAATATCTCCAAGTGGTTGAAGCATCAGTCCGCAGCTATGGGGAGGAATGTGTAGATGCGATAGCAAAGGTGAGTAGAATTTCCCACTGATATGCCACTGGTAGGTGCAGAAACTTATCTATAGCGATAGTAAATCAAACGATATCCTCAATAATTTCAGGGGTTCGAGGATATGCACCAGCTTATGCTTACGGTGGATGGACGACAAAATCTTTCAAATCTATTCAGGTACGAAGTACTGCTGACGTACTTCCGGACCCGTCCAGTGTCCGAAGCAGGAATAGGCAGAGTGCCACGCGGAAAACGTATTGCTAGCGTCGCCTTCAAAAACTGAAGCGTGAAAAATCATTTTTTGTGCTCCATAGCCTTTCGAGGTTTCGCATGCTCCCTTGCTCGTTCTGATTATAAGTATAGTAGTATTTTAACAAAACCAAGCAGAGTAAAAAATGCACAGCATTGTGCCTTGCTATTCTTAAAGCAACAGTCCCAGCAGGGTTTTTACCTTCGACACTAATGGTGTGGAACGATGCGCTAGCCCTAGTCAAGAACATAAGAAGTGTGACTGAACAAAAAACTCACCTTGGAAAGCCGCTAGAAAGGGAGCTGAACGGCTTCGAAGTGGGCGTGGTTGCAGTCGGCTCCCTCGGCCGATTCCAACCACGCCCACTTCGAAGCCGTTCAGCTCCCTTTCTAGCGGCTTTCCAAGGTGAGTTTTTTGTTCAGTCACACTTCTTATGTTCTTGACTAGGGCTAGCGCATCGTTCCACACCATTAGTGTCGAAGGTAAAAACCCTGCTGGGACTGTTGCTTTAATGCAATAGTCACGTTACCGCCCGCAAATTTTGTTCAATCGACGGCTCGCGTTTGAAGGCGGAGTTTACGATGAAAAAACAGCTCATCAGAAATCAAGGTAGAGGTTGTCACTGATGCAAGCATGAAGAAAAAGATGAGAAACGGAAAAAAAGATGAAAAACGGCCCAGAACCCAAGACATGGGATCCCCTTCCCCGTTGATTTGCGAGTTAGGCGTATCTCATCAGAGCTAACCTCATCAACTCTAAGGCTCTCTCTCTGCTAGACGGTTAGAGCCAAATGGGGAGGCGGGCAGCGGCGATAGCGGCTCGGGGACGTCCATGCTAGACCGCAAGGGGCACATCCATCGCTGCTAATTGCGTTTCAGTCCACACCCTTGGAGCATCCGTCTGTCTCTTCACCACGTAGACTTCACCTTCTTTGACCTCGACCTTATTATGAAGTCCTCCTTTCATCCATTGCCAATCATCGCTTTGTCGGGAGTTCTGAGAAATTGATCCGAATGATTCTCAATAAAAGATTGATAAGCCTTTTGTTCGGAATTGATCCTGAACTGATGCGTTCACGAGGTCATAATCCGCAATGATAGCGTTTTCTAGTACAAGCGCACACTACTACAGACCAATTTTCACAAGTAAAATTTTCGCATAGCCGCAGATTGAACACACAAAGATTTCCATAGAAAGGCCCTATGGTTTACGAAGTTTGCAAGGCAGAGCCGTCATTCAAGAGCTAATCGCAGAGTTCCAAGATTTACGGCAATATTACGAACTTTTTGGAGCTGAAGAGTCAATAGAAATTAATACAGCCATTGCAGGGTGTTGTTGCTAACTTATCAACCTACTTTGCTCTCATCTAATTCCCGATTTCAAAAATTTCATTCACTGTCAATTTAGCTTGGAACCTCCTGGGACGATGTCTCCGATGTATCCGAAATTGATAAGCAATTCTTCTTTGCGAATATTATAGAACAATTTGCAGGTGCTGTTCAGTACAGTGGAGATAATGCGGGGGTGAGTCTAGTTGAATGACTTCGACTAAACTAATAATCTAAATAAATTTGTCCCATGACTGACCCATTCAATAACATACTTCCCTAGAGAACTATAGCTTGGAAAATGGTCTGGAAAGGAAAAAAGAAAACAAAAGAATTCCATAATTACGTCCCAATCAAACGACTCTTTCATCCGCCGCATTCCACCTTGGGATGGAGAAGAAACGTGTTCAGACGGATCAAAACGCTTTAAGTTGCTGCCAGTGTCAGACACCGCACTGCAAAGCTGCTGCTTTGAGCGCGCCATTCTCGCACGGAGCGTAGGCTTACGCATAGCGAAAGGACGAGTCTTCGCTAACGAAGTGAGAGATTGAGGCGAACTTATTATCGCCTTTACTCGGCGCAACATTTGTTAAGCGCAAAAGGCACTACACCTAACGCCGTTTCTCCTGTTGGCGGGACCAAGATGGCATAGTGAGCGTCTCGGAATCTGACCGAACAGATTTGAATTGCTATCGGCGAATGAGTCCACCCTTGTCAGCCATACACTACTATTGAATAGTTTGTCTGTATATGGCAATAACTGTTTATCTATTTCTGAGGCGTACATGGTCAGCTATCATAAAAATGAGGGCCCAGTAAGTGGTCTACCTACCTAAACATGTAATCAAGAGTGGCTTAGATATTATTCGTACTTATAATAAATAATGAATTTGAGGAATAGCGTCTGGTCATGGTATACCGGATATGTGCAGAATTATGCGTGAACGAGGGCAAGCCATTCAAAATATCGCCAAGTTCAATGAATACATGACAAGATTTTATCAGGTACATTTTTTCAAAATATAACAGTATACAATTGCCTAAGAGTCAGTAAGCGATCAGAAAGGCAGGTGTTCGAAAGGCCAGCAATTCCACTTTTCATTCCTAATGGTGGATGGAGTAAATTGCCTGCCAGTGAATCACACTATTTTGAATCACTAATCATACACAAAACAATAGTCAATGCGGAGCTCTCCAAGCCAAAAGTACTTTGAGAGAATAATCAATATAGGCATGAGCTTTGTCCAATATGATGTGATACTAAGAGCTTTCCTGACTTATTTGCAAATTCGTAGAGTAACATACACTGCGCCCTCTGTGTCTAACAATAGCCATTTTCCACTTACCCGTAATTCCCCGTCCCCAATTGGTGAAGCGCAGAGCGCTATAAGGCTACATTGGTAGTCACATTCAAGCCGTGAACCTATCGTGATCATAGGTACTTACGCATCTGAACCCTGTCTGTAGAATCATTTGTGTTTTGACTGTCCATAATTTTTTTCTTAGAAAATCACCAAACCTTGTGAAACGCGAATATTAGAAGTATTTCCAAGGTGCTTAAAGCAGAGCTGAATATTTGAAAACTAGATACTGAAGCATTAAAGAAGCTGATCTAATTTTCGTATAAAAAAAAACTGTTCTCTGAATTATAAAGCAGTGAATGCGAGGAGGCGTGTAGGCCAGATATTTTAAGGAAGCTATCAGACTCTTCAGTGCCTCGATTTATTACTTTGTTCTCGAATTTATTAATGTTGTCTCTCCAAAACTATTTTATAGGGTGGTGAATTCAACTACACATTCAACAGTTACAAAGATTACATTAAAGCACTACAACAATCACTATTTACAGGTGAGCCCATTTTTACAGAACATTCTATGGCTGAATTCTAAATAATGAGTTAGGCAAGCATGGTGAGTGGTGCTAGCGACGCAACTTTAATGTACCGTCCAGAAAAAGAACACCAATCCAGGGGTGTCCCCCAAGTGCCATCGCGCGGCGAAGGAAGAGACGCAGACGCGGCAAAGGACGAGTCGCAGCGCGTGCTGTGCGATATGAGACGTAGTATGGTACACTCTATTTAACCTGACGCCTAACCGCTACAGTATGCGCTGCGACTCGTCCTTTGCCGCGTCTGCGTCTCTTCCTTCGCCGCGCGATGGGCTTCTTGGGGGACCCCAAGCCCCGCTAAAGTCAATCCAGTATCAGCTCTAACGATTATCGACATTTTTAGGACAGAACAGAAGCAGTTAGAGTTAGAGTTAGAGGTAAAAAAACCTAAGAGAGATGCTAATCGCCCTATCGCCACACTGGTGTTTGAACCAAAAGCCCTTTTCATCAATCGACGAGTAGGAATGTACAGCGTTAGCTATATATTCTTGGTTTTTACAAAGTATACTAGACGATCAGCGCGGATTCCAACATCTAAATTAAGATGAGTCAGCTGCCTATATTTGACATGGCAAACATTACTCGAATTCGCTTCTACCATGACTGACTTACCGGTAGACTATTGATACCAATCTACCACTAAATAAATCTGATTTACCATTCAGTATACAAGATATGACTGCGGCGGTCGGCAATGGCTCGTAAAGGGATTTTTTTCGCAGCAATTCCACTTCTTTCATATTTCTATTTATTTTGACAATCACCATTGCTGGAATAATCACGATACCGAACGATTCATTAAGTTACTTGCAGATTTTGCAGTCCATCGAATTTGGCCACCGTGATTCCCTCTTTCTTCTTTATATCTCTACTCTCTTTAGCATTCCGTATAGACAAAATTGATAAGTAAGCATAGAAAATTAAAGAATTTTGCGCCGAAAGACTCTGCACTCTTTTCTAACATGAATATGTCAGTTGTGATCACTGGAAATAGCACACAAAGTTTCACGCATGAAGATTCAGTTGAAGAGAAACAAACGTACAAAAACTACACGTTATGGACCATCGAAGGACCAGGAGGCAGAGCCAGGCGAGGCATGGAAAGAAGACGGCGTTTGGCCGGCTACGTACCAGGCGACGCAATGAGAGAATCGGGTTAAGCGCGCGATTTCGGAGAGTGGAGACAAATCGATCGATGGAATAGGATGGAGTAGAAGTGTAAGATGTGAATGCAACGCAGAAGGCCAGAAAGAGCTTCTAGTGAATGCACTCCAAGAACCAAGTTTGAGCATCCCCGTCGCCAGCATTCGTGAAAGACGTCCGTGGGCAATTCGAACGCGTAGCAGCCTTTTCGAGTTTTCGAATTTCTAATCAAAACGAAAGCAATACTTCAGTTCTTTTCACTATTATCGTGGATAATGAGTCTCAAGCCAGTGATTTATGGCTGAAATAGAATCATGATTTTTCGCGCGATTCCTTTAATATGTTTTTTATAGAAAACCGCGAAAAATACTTTTGAAGTTCCTACAGCAATTGAATGATGTTTTTTTTTGCATAAGACATCATTTTAATCGAACTTCTATTAAGGTACAGTCCTCGATAAATGCCCGAATAAGCAAGTATTACTGGAAAGGAATTCATTTAAGGATGCGTGTTTACAGCGTCGAATCCAACGAAGTGAGCGACGCGCGCCTGTAAATTGTTTCCGCTCTCACCGCGGTGAAAAAAATAAGCCAAAAGGCTGCTGCGTCATGGAGTCAATCCATGCATCCTCCTTCAAAACGTTTACTATAATGAAAGAGCTAATGTTGCCAGTCAATGGCCTTTCGAGCAAAATAAAGGCGGCGAGAGCCCTAAGAGGGAGAAAGAAGTGAAGGGACGTCATCGAAGAGACATCAGTGAAAGTCAGTATAGCAAAGATGATCTGTACTATCGACGCTGACAAAGCCAGCGGACCTCTGCGATAGCGAGGACTAGCGCAGGGAGGAAGAGAAGTTGGTTGCACACTTTTTCTTTATCAAATGATGCTAACTAAAGCATAGTAAGAATGAAGGATGATAATATGAAAATAATTACTATACTTTCCATGTTTCCTGGTCTGCAGCTACATGGTTACATCAACGACCGCTGCACGATTAAATCAGGCGGTGTCAGCGATATTCAAATTTTTGTTACCTGGCTATTCTACATATCCATATGCCCTGTGTCCGCATCTACTACATGCTAGATCAGATCATGTCAATACGCGTACATCGAATTTCAATTTTTTTATACCTGCTTAAATGTTCGTTCGACTGGTCAATATGCTTGTTTCAAAGCTGACCAACGCGAAAATAGTAAAACTGACACATGTTGCTTCCTTACACATGTCAACGCTTATTAAATTACAACTCTACATATTGCGCACAGCAATCCTAAAAAGCTCTAGTTCGATATGCTGCTGTTTCTAAGTTTCAGAACCAATATCGCAGTTTCCTCGGAATGTCATTTCACATATTTACTGCCGTCGAGTCCGCAATATCGAGATACATGTGGTGTAATTGATCGATCGAGAAAAGCGGTGACAAATACAAGTGTAGATGCAGGAAATGCCTTCGTCTGTACAGTGTTGAGCTACCCATCCAAGAATTGATTTTGTATTCAAAGAACGAAAGAATAATCCTTCTATTTTATGAAGCGCTAACTTTGTGTGGTGGTTTGTATGTCTGTATGTGTGTGTGTATGTATGTATGTATGTATGTATGTATGTATGTATGTATGTATGTATGTATGTGTGTCCGTCCGCAAAATGAAGTGAGTGAGTGATAAGGCAGCTAACGGAATAAACAAGCCGCCAACAAATCTGGGTAGCTCGCAGAGATTTGCGCTATCAAAATATCGATCTGCTATCAATATTTTTACAAGCATGTACCTCGCTACATAAACACGCACTTAGCACACTTTCGGTCATTCCACAAGGTGATGCCGTGGTAGCCGGCGAGCAGAGGGGAACAACGAGGGGAGGGTAGTAAGGAGAGGAGGAGAAGGGAAAGCTTACGCAAGGTAGGGAGGTTCCGGCGCTTGCGGGGGACTCAATCTGGTTTAAAGGATAAAGCATTTTGCCGTTGATCAATCCCTTTTTGGGATGCGGCACGCATTCTACTTCCATTTGTACATTCGCAGTGGCGTTTGAATGTGGCCTATACAATGACTTGCGGGGGCCAGCCGATGTACAAGTCAGTGTTTTTTATCCTCCCAGACAAGTCTGGTACCAATTAACAGAGCCCGGAAGGATGGAAGTTAGCCGGGCACTTCAGCTAGGTTTTCCCGGACTTGATCGCGTGTAAAAGCCTGGCTACTTTGCCACTACAACCACTTCGTCCAAAAGGGTGTTAAGACGAATAATTTGCGATTGTCACAATATCACTCACAATTAGCCACTGTAGCGGAGAAAAATCTCTCGCGAAGTACTGTCATGTTTTTCCCCGGGACGACGTAGATATCATTCGGTATATGTTCTGTCTCCACTCTTTTTGACACGATAGCTAGCGTCCAAGACCCTCCGTATCAAAAGCAGTCTAAACCTATCCTCTACATTGCTTCGAGGAGGGATTTCATATTAAAGAAATGGTGCTAAGCGTAGTATATCTCACAGTAGAAACGTCTCTAGACTTCATTGACTAGATATTCGCATTCCAAAGAGGATAGCGCGATAGCATCAAGTAGCGATTCATAATTGTACAAATTCTAAAAATTGTGGTAGAACAACATTGCAGATGCCAGCCTTTGCTATTTTGCCAATGTACGGCCGAACTTTTTTCGCCGTAAACAACAAGCGAGTTTTTTGCAGTTTCTTCACGCAACTATGCTCAGATCTATTCGGTAGGGAGACAACGTACTCAGCTGCAATAAATCGAGAGGCCGTGCTGAAAACGAATGTTCATTATGGTGGCCGATATAACTACAAGGTGACATAAAATTGCTAGAAAAAATTATCTTCGAAAGATAAGAAGCAAAAAAGGTTTTTAGGCACGCCTGTAGTGGAGCATGCTCTCTGATCGTGCATGCTCTGCACGAAACATGTGACTTCTAATAATGTGTACCGGTGAGTAAAGTTAGCGAAATGGACCTGGAGTTACTAATTCGCAAGGCATTATTTTTTGGCCTTAAATTGAACTGCTAGCAATCTGCGAGAACAGATTAGATTGTGAAATTAAGGAATGCAGTTCTACAACACTTAGCACCTTCGATCCGCACACCTGGCAAGGAAGGTTTTTGATTTCCTTGACTCTCTTCGTTGAAGTTGCCATATGAAAATATCTTGTACATAGGTCAAAGCTCATAAAGATTGCCTTTATTGGCGACATCAGATCCCAAGATTAACGCGGGAATCGATCCGAGAGAATTTATTCTGAGTGGAATTTAATTTCACTATAAAAGCTGAGATTCGAGCTTTTCATGACGAATCTCAAACGAATAATAATAACTACAGAAATCAAGTTTTATCTCTCATTTCAGAACCAGCACACTGTGCATATGTATACGCCCGAACGAGCGTTCATAGATCCTCTCAAAACCCGAAAATGGTGGAACAACTATGGAAGAATGCTTCCCTCATTACTATTCTACACACTATACTACTTGCCTACTACTACTACTACCGTGAAAATTGACACGACTTCTCCATCTACTACTGTCGAAGTATCCAAGAAATACAGTCATCCAGACAACAACGACATGATTTATAAGGAAAAAATTAAGTGGAAAGGACCCCGCTGGTAAGGCTATATTTGTTCAGCTATCTCTGCTTTTTAAGTAATTGACAACAAAAAAAAAAGAATCTATTTCAGCTAAAAAGTGTTTGCATAACCAAATATAATTTCCAAGACCACATCCAATCAGTGCTCATTCTCTTAAACATCAACGGATAAGTTTCCAGTCACGTCTCTACGTAGAATGAATGTAAGCAGATTTCAGTAATGTTTGT